AAAATATATAAGACTACTTGAATTAAAATTTGATTTCAAAAGGCTACCATAAAAATTAATTTACACTCCCCTGTTCTCTCTCTAATTGCCCACTTAATCACATTATTTTTTTTTCCCATGACCAAAGTCAGAACTTGGATAGTGATGAAGCACTGCACATATTCAGTATTTCTGAAGATGTTTTGAACTGTTGGCTTTTCCTCCACCGCTGCAAAACAAGCATCTAATACATTGGTTTATTTTATTTCAAAAAATTATTTGCATTTGTGCTGCCACAGCTAAAATCCTCTCAAGTAGCCAGCCTGGGGAGCAAGCAAGAGAGTCTCTGCAGTACACAGACCTTTGCAGTGGAAATACTGATGCTCTTCATGTTCAAATTTGTCCTTATATAATCAGCTTTTGTGTTGCTGGAAAATTCTTTATTCATGGGTGAGGGAAATCATCTGCTTATATGAATATAGTACATGTGGCACAGTGGTACAAGCTCAGCTCTACAAATGGTCCTATTTGTTAAGCTAGTTAGTATCCTAGAGATATAAAAAAACCCTAGTTTATGCTCAGGCTGCCTTTTCCTGCTTGTTTTACTTGTATGTCAACCAAATATTAAACCAGAAGTAACCACAAAGTTTTATTCCACAAAACATAAATTTGCTATTTCCATCCCGGAACTCTACACAACCACCTTCCTTGTGTGTGCTCTGTTACCTTTTGCAGGGACCTCATCAGAGCACAACAATATTGACTCAACACTCAAAAACGTGTTTTGCAGCAAGCTGAGCTTTCTGTTGGTTTGTCAGAGGCTTTTTTAACCCCCACCCCCAGTAGTGATAGCAACCAGATTGCCACTCAGGGAGAAAACTTGCAGAGCAGAATCATGTTTGTGCTCTTTTAGCCTTAAAAAAGGGGAAAAAAAACCCCAAACAACCTAAACAAAACCCTACAATCCAAAACACCAAAAAGCACACACACACAAAAACAGAGGAGGCAAAAAAAAGACCATTTTCTTACACTGCTCGGTATACAACATCCTTGTAGCTAGAGATCCTAAGAAAAATAAAATAGAATAGAAGTAAAGGGAATGGAAACCATTAGGATGCAGGACACTGCCGAGTACTTTGCCTCACTCTGTACTATGTGACAGGAATTGCCAGCAGGCTGCTCAGGCTCACAGTGGAAAAGTACTGTCTGCTTCAGCCAAGGAAAGCAGGATTCCCCTGCCCTGTGGGGCTCTCAGGGTTGTCATCTGGCACTTACCTGATGTTTAGGATTTGCTTTGCAACTCCTGTTTGGTTTGTGGCCTGTAGATGTACAGGGGGAGGAAAAGGGAACTGTCTGTCTCAGTGCAAATTCACATCGCTCCGTTACAAACCTCAGGGTTTCCTGTGGGCTTCACCAGACGGGCTTAACCTGTCCTGGAACACTTCCTTGGCATTTGAAAGCCTTCAAAGAGAGAAAGAAGATGATCCACATTCCTATTTTGTCCAGTGAGTTGACAACACAGGAATGAAAAAATAAAAAAATTAAAAAAAAAAGGTTGGGTTTAGGGAGTACTGTGCACATTTTAACACTGGTTTCCCTCACAGAATTCCATTGTGCAGTCTTAGGATTCTTGGGCCACGTGTGTTGCTGAGGTACACATGGAGAATTTAGAGTCCTACCATCTTCAGAAATCCATCATTCACGTGGATGACACTGGAAATAGTCGAAATTTCTCAGATTATTAAAAAACAACCCGAACAAAACCCATCAGAGTTCTCTGTTGTCCAAGCCCACTCAGTGCCTATCCCTGCACCAGAGGAGTAGATGTGGATGGTGCCTTAGGTCAGCCAGTTTCTCCTTAATTACAGTAACTCAAGAAGGACTCAGAATGTTGAATGTTGGGCAACACTATGCAACAGTTGATCAAATTTTTATTCGTAGTGCTTAGAATTATCCACACAGAAATTAATTAAGAGAATAAAGTAGCAAGTGCAACAACGCTGGTTTATGTTTACATGTATACATCTATATACATGAAATATAATATTTTAAATACTTCATTCTCAAACTGCATGTAAAGATTTTTACAGTGCCCAGCCTAGCACTTTGTGCTGCCCTGCAGCCAAAGTGTGTGTGTGCACTGGGTACCTGTCTGCCCTGGAGTGGAGGAAGGAAGAGAAGAGAACATGCCCCCATTTGTCCTCTACTGATCTTCACATTTCTGTGTTAAACTGTGATGGGATAAAGTACAATATAATGTCCACAACACTGCCTATCTGTCTAAGATAGGTGATTTTTTGCAATGTGCTCTGAAATTGGAAAAAAATGTGGCAGGCTGAAGTTTACTGATGTCATTCAACACTTCCAAAAGTTTGTAGGCAAAGAGTATCTCCCTCCAAAGTGTTCCTTCGCACAGTTTCAACACTGATACAATTATAATTTAAATACTCTTATAATTTAAATACCCAAATCATTTACATTGATACAATGAATAATATTAATTCTCCTAAAAAAGCATTCAAAGCCTTAACTGTACGTGCCTATCACCAGCCTAACTGGTGACAAGAGTTTCCCATCACTACATGTCTAAAGCAGTCAAGTGATTCCCAATCCTCTGCCTTTAAATGGTGGGATTGTGTCTCTGCACTGCCCTTGCTGAACCTGCATCTCTGTTCTGCAAGATCCACGTTAGACATCTTCTCCACCTAAAGGCCAGGTATACAAACACACATCTCTGCGTTATTTTTACAGTGCGCTGCTTAGACTGTTGCTGTGTGCTGTTTGAAATACAAAATTCCTACAGGGAATTCTTAAAAACCCTCATAATGCAGTAAATCCTGTAGTTGCTTGAAGTCAGTTGACAGGCTTTTTAAGGCCACTCACTGTTACGTACTTGACAAATATATACAGGATACTGTGCTCGCAGAGTGAAGTTGATATCATCATTCATTATTTTATTACTTCACAAAACACGCTGAAACCAGACTTCTGTGTCTCATGGGGAAAGAAAAAAAAAAAAAAAGTAATTTGCATTACTTTCTGGGAAAGGCAGGATTAATGACATCAAACACTTAGCTGCTCTTCTGCTCAGAGTCTTTAGAGTCTTGAATTCTATGTAAGATAATTTACACAGTAAGAAACAACTTCTAAAGACTCTGGAACAGAAGTGGCCATTCTATTCATTAGCAAATGCCTGTTTCTGAAACTTGCCTCTTGAAGGGGAACTAGACATGCTAACTTTTAGATATCTGACATTAGAAACTGCATGTTAACTACTCAAAATCATTGTCTCTGGGCTGTTCTATTTTTTTCTAATGTGCTGAGAAAAAATACACAAAGAAAATACTGCGTTTTTACAGATATACAAAGATTTATAGGAAGAATAAACTCCTTAGGACTCCAGTAGAACAGTGCATGTACACTGTTATGCACATGTGTGCATTATTATAAGGTACCGAACCAAAAAAAAAAAGGAAAGATAAATAATACTGTAAAACCCCCTTACATTTAAAATGAACGTGGTCTTTAGATACTCTAAAATAGTGGATTTTGGCAAAAAAAAATTAGGAAAAAAACCCCACCACCTTGACCTGACTCTGTATTTACTTAAGTTCTGTAGCTGAAGAAAACTTGGGTTGACATCAGACCAGTATTTATTAGAGCAGAATTACCAAAATAAAATTTTAAACAATTCTGCATTTGTCGTTGCTCATGAGAAAAATGCCACCAAGAAGCCCAGCTTCTGTGAACAGAAGCCTCCAGCCAGGCCTGATTTTATTTCCACGTGCACAGGGACGTGGCAGTTGCTCCTCAGCGTGGCAGAGCACTACGTGATTCAGCAGATTTCTTCCCGAGGGAACGGCTGACAAAGGCTGGATGAATAGAGGCATTTTCACACCCACTGGCAGAAAAGCTGCAGAAGCCTTGGCTGAACTCTCTAGGGCTGGCAATGGCCATTAATCTCTCACTTACACGAGCACTAAAACTCTATTAATGAGTGCTTTTCACACACAGTAGCGCTTCCAAGAGCTTTCAGCATCAGAACTTAGGTGATCATTTACGAGGGGTAAAAAATATCCCATCAATCAAGGCCTCAGGTTATTCCTCTGATATTTGGGTCCTAATTTTTTTGAGTCTAGTGACGGATCTTTTACTGCTATACCACTAAGACACAAGCATGCTGCTGCAGCTCTGAGTTTGCTACATCTCTCTCACCCCTTAAACTGCAAACCTGGAATGACGCCCTGTCCTGCTTCTCCATCCCCATGAACCATGCTGGGGTTCGGTATTTCCCGGTTTGAATTCCCCGTAGCTGGCGAAGCTGGATGCAGTTTTTGATGCTCTTCCTCTGGATTTGCAGGAGAGCTGCTCCCTCTGCTGAGTTCTCTGTGGATCGCCACCGGCACCTGATGTCCTTCCTCACCATGCTGGGCCCCAGCCCCGACTGGAATGTGGGGCTCTCTGCTGAGGATCTCTGCACCAAGGACTGTGGCTGGGTCCAGAAAGTCGTTCAGGATTTAATCCCCTGGGATGCTGGCACGGACAGTGGCGTTACCTATGAGGTATTGGGACTATTTGTAATGTATTCGAATATATTGCCTTAAAGTGTTGAAGAATGAAAGCTGTTTGATCCATGGTAATGTCCTATGTGAATTTATGCTGCTCCAGCAAAAATTTTTCTTATAGTGAGTTAGAAGTAATTTAAACAGATGTTAGCTGCAGTTACTGTTGGTCATTTTGTCTGAAGTCCTTAAGCACTATTATTAATGGGATAATATCACTTTCACCTGGGACGTTATTACCACAGAATCACAAATGGGGAAGGATGGGAGGAACCACCGTGAGTCATCTGGTCCAACCTCCCTACTTTAAGCAGGGTCACCCCAGAGCACGTTGCACAGCATTGTCTATGGTTCTTGAACATCTCCAGTGAGGGAGAGTCCACCTCTCCCTGGGCAGATCATCCTCAGCTAAAAGTCCAGGTTTGGACTAAATGAGTTATGTCAAGTGAATTGAATAGGCAACAGGGACCTACACAGCACAAGACAGCTGAAGTGAGATTAGACTAGTCCCATCCTCAAATAGGACACATATTCCTATGTCAGATGACAAGATGGCATTAATTTTGTCTTTCAGACCCAGCCTCTTTAGAACCTGAGGAATTTCTCCGGTTATAATACAGCTCTGGGGGCATATTGAATAATTTAATTTTTTTTTTATTAATGTAGTTATTTAACCAGACAACAAAGCATGCACCATATTGTTAACCCAGCTTCAGGCCTGAATTCTGAACTATTAGAGAAGCACTTCTTGACAAAGCAAAACAAACAACAACAACAAAACCCAAACCAAAACCATAAACAAACAAAACCAAACAACAACAACAACAAACACCAAAAAACCTGACTATTAAGTACAAATGTACCAAGTTCATCTTAACACAGGAATTTTGCGATTTAGCATCTCGGAGAAGTTTTTATTTCTGCAGATTAATTGTATTACTAATTATTAATTTCTTTTTTAACATTTTTTTTTTTCCTTTTTGATTGCAGTCTCCTAACAAACCTACAGTGCCTCAAGAGAAGATCAGGCCACTCACAAGCTTAGATCATCCCCAAAGCCCATTTTATGATCCAGAAGGAGGATCTATCAAGCTGGTAGCCAGAGTTGTCATCGAGAGAATTGCACGCAAGGTATGATACACATGTAAAATTCTCAAGTGAGTGCAAAAAAAACCACTCCATAAATCAGGAAATTAATCTTTCCTCCCCCTCCCCCCCCGAAGTCTATACTCTTTACCCTGCTCACAACAAAGCTAATGGCAGAAAAAACCTACAACTGTCTTAAGGTATTAGTTCTACTTCTGGTAATTATTGCATCTGCTTAGTTGGGGATTTTCTTTAAATATGCCTAGGAATTCAAAGAGAAAAATGCAGTAATGCCTCCCACTATACTGGTTTAGCCCCTCTCTGTGCATTCCTGTCTGAGTTTCCTGTGTTCAGTGTCCACGATGGTGTTTTTGCAGGGGGAGCAATGCAATATCGTTCCCGATAACATAGATGATATTGTGGCAGATCTGGCACCGGAGGAAAAAGAAGAAGGTACATTTTAAATTAGTTCATGCAGTACTAATTTATGTTTTGTTTCATTCTCCCCTGTCGTTTGTAGATAAGGAACAAAACTGACTCAGGAGCAAAAATTCCACCTGGTGTCAAACGGTGATTTAGGTTTTCATCTCCTCTATCTACTATTAGCCCTCCCTTACAGAGCAAAGAAATTGCATATATACCTAAAAGATGGCAATAACAATACAGATGATAAAAGAGAGAAGCCTTTTGGGATTCAGACAAAAATTTTTTTTTTTTAAATGAAAGCTGGCAATTGGTAATTCTTGTTTCTTCAGGGCTAAAATGGAGAAGATGGAATGCTGAAGGAAAGAATGTATCCTATTAGAATCTAAAGTAATCATCAGCCAAGTAAAGGGGAGAAAATGGAAGACTATTTTTAACATTCAATGCCTTTCCTTGCTTTTTAGACGATACCCCTGAGACCTGCATATATTCAAACTGGTCCCCATGGTCAGCCTGCAGCTCTTCTACCTGTGAGAAGGGGAAGAGGATGAGGCAGAGAATGCTTAAAGCTCAGCTGGACCTCAGTGTGCCCTGCCCAGATACCCAAGATTTTCAGCCATGCATGGGTCCAGGCTGCAGTGATGAAGGTAATCAGGAGTGAAATGTGGAGGAGAAGAACACCTTGTAGGGTTTTCTCTTCCTTTAAATTTCTTAAGGCTGTTGGTTGCTGTAGTATGGCTTCAGTTATGGCAAACAGAGGGACAGCTGCTGAAGAACACAAACTGAGGCTGTCTGGGGTTAATTCTGCATTTCAGCTGAGTCAGGGCATGAAGAACACAAAAGTATAAAGGAAAGGAGTAAAGGAAGCAACGGGGGAAAGGACAACGTGAAAAGCAGCATCAAAGTGAATGCTGCACAGAAATGGGCAGCTACAGGTTTGTCATCAGTTCTACCAATACTTGCAGTTGAAATGGTTCTCTGTGTTTTAGATGGTTCCACTTGCATGATGTCTGACTGGATTACATGGTCCCCCTGTAGTGTTTCCTGTGGAATGGGAACGAGATCTAGGGAGAGATATGTAAAGCAGTTCCCTGAGGATGGCTCCATGTGCAAAGTGCCTACTGAAGAGACCGAGAAGTGTATTGTAAATGAGGAGTGCTGTAAGTATTCTGTTTAACTTGATAAAATCCAGCCTCTAGTACGAGCACTGCCCAAACCATTTTTTTACATGATCCCTACTTATGAACAATTCCCTCTGTCCACTTTGAACAGCTCCCAGCAGCTGCCTCGTCACTGAATGGGGTGAGTGGGACGAATGCAGTGCCAGCTGTGGCACAGGGATGAAGAGACGGCACAGGATGATCAAGATGACTCCTGCTGATGGATCCATGTGCAAGGCAGAAACTACAGAGGCAGAGAAATGCATGATGCCTGAATGCCGTAAGTGTCCGGGAATTTATCTCCTCTGCTACAGGGAGGCATCACCTGACTCGTTGTTCCAGCACACAAAGAACACAGCTAAACTAGAGGCAATGTTGCTTTTACTTATTCTCCTTAAAATTAGGTTTCTTAGGGAATGTGCATTAAGCACCTCATTCACCATCAGGACGAGAGCATCAGTTAAAAAAAAAGGTTCACTGGTGTCCTGTTACTATATGAGCCACATGGTGGTGTGTGTATCAGCAAGCCATACCTAAACAACTCTGAAGTTGTGGAATATGAGGCATATTTAGTCATAAGGCTAGAATAAAACTAATAAAACTGAGCCCTCTCCTTTTAGCCCACGGACCATTCAGAAATCCAGGTGCTCCTTTTGTGCAGTCAGCTAGTCTCACCCTTCCTATTAATATCATTTTTCAATTTCTAAAGAAATATTAAGATTGTCATCAAAAGCAGAGATAAGTTTAAAAATGTTTTTGGTAGATAAAATATGGAAGTTTCACATTTCAGACTGAGTTAATTTGACTTCCAGTTCTCTCCACTGTAACAATCCAGGCTTTTTTTACAGGAGTTATGACTGAAACATAGCTTCCTAAAGTATTTATTCCTCAGATGCACTGGGGCTCTGCAGATAGGAATAAGCTACAGAAACAGATAGCAAAGAAAAGATATTAAAATCAAGCAAACCTTTCAATTTAATATACTGTTTTCTGAGCTTCTTCAGCAGCATCATTTAGCTTGTGACAAGAAAGGATAACTGGCTGATGACAGATAAAACGTAGGACATTTTCCACCTGTATTATTTTCAAAACTCACACCTTCGTAATTCATTTATGACAAGAATTCATTCCCTTTTTATTTTCATGTCAGATACCATCCCCTGTCTACTCTCTCCCTGGTCTGAGTGGAGTGACTGCAGTGTAACATGTGGGAAGGGAATGCGAACCCGGCAAAGGATGCTGAAATCTGCTGCTGAGCTTGGAGACTGCAACGAAGAGCTGGAACAAGCAGAGAAATGCATGCTGCCTGAATGCCGTGAGTCTGGGCAATCCCCTGGAAAGAGGAGAATAATTCCAAGTGTAACAGCCTGTGGGGCAAAACTCTATCACCATTTAAGCACCACTTCTTAGGTGGGAGGGATATCAACCGTGCATTGTTTAAAAAATAATTATTATTGTTATTATGCACCTTCAGCAATTGAGAGCTGGAACATGATCATGTCTTAAATTCAGCTTGTCTTAACCCTGTGCTGGTGATCAGTATTGGTCAATACGGAATGCAGGGGGAAAGAACATATCCTCTTAGAATCCAAAGTAATCATCAGCAGAGTAAAGGGGAGAAAATGGAAGACTATTTTTAACATTCAATGCCTTTCCTTACTGTTTAGATGATACCCCTGAGACCTGCATATATTCAAACTGGTCCCCATGGTCAGCCTGCAGCTCTTCTACCTGTGAGAAGGGGAAGAGGATGAGGCAGAGAATGCTTAAAGCTCAGCTGGACCTCAGTGTGCCCTGCCCAGACACCCAAGATTTTCAGATTAGAAAAACTGTTCAGATCCAGGCAGAGTTGCTCAAGGCCATGCTCAGTGAAGTTTTATCTCCAAATATAGCAACACCACTGCCTCTCTGGACCCCTCTTGCACTATGTAGTAGGAGACAGCAATAAGATCCTCCTCAGTTTTTTCCACCTCATGTGCTTCAGCCTGTCTTTTCTTTTTTTTTTCATCCTCTGGTATGTCCATGGCTCTTTTCTGCTGGGGAGCCAAGAAATGGACACAGCACTCCAGAACTGGAGTACAGTTCTGCTTCTTTAACACACTTCAGGTCACTGTTTGTGAGCTTCCCAATAGTAAATAAATAAGTCAGAATTGTAAAACCTTTTTTTTTTTTTTTTTTTTTTTTTTTTGCTCAAAGGCAGAAAGTTTGCTTGGAAGGAGGGAAAGAAGAGTTAAAATCACCTATGGGATTGATTCTTTTAGCTCACACTAAGAGCATAAAAGAGGTTTTCTCCGTTTTTGATGCATCTGTGAACTTTGATACGCTTTGCAGCCTGCAATATCATATAAGCCAGTGGATGGTGTGGAGACAGCTGCAACGATTTTTTTACCTTACTCCATTAAAATCCCCCACTTGTTGGGCAGTGCAAATTTCTAGTTGCTTTTCAGTCTTTGTGAAGGGTGATAGCCTAAGGTGCCGCTGAATGAACGAGATATGATTGCTTTCAGCGTCTGGTTGCCAGCTGGTTTATGAGGCTTTATCACAAATTACATAATTTTCCACAGAAAGTGTTGGTTAAAAAAGGCTTTTACAGTGTAATTGCTCATTCAGCTTTTCTTAAATGATGTGAAATGTCATTTTGATTATTATTCACTGGGGCTGTAAGTGTTAAGCAGTGCTGAAAGATGAAAACTTAAATGGTATTAGTGAATATGGCTTATTGCATAACACTGCCAGAAAGCAAGGCTTAGATCTCAGAGGCAGCAAATTCTTTTCAAATATAACTCAATTTTCAACAGCCTTTCACTACAAAACAGACATATGGGTGGGAAAATTGAAGAAGACGCAGGAGAATTATTTATGTGCTCATTGTAATTTTAGTGATCTGCCAGCACCGCTCTTGAAGAAGAAATCGAGGAAAGTGTCACACGACACTTCTGCTAGGAATGGACTCAGGAAATCTGAGAAGCCTGGAGTCTTAAGTTGTGTTCATGCGTTTAGGGCATAAAAACTCATCAGGCACATCTTGCTTCTTGACCTCACGCTCAGATTTCATGGATTTTGTGTCGTGTTTCTTGTTTCTCCGCAGCCATCGACTGCGAACTAACCGAGTGGTCCCAGTGGTCCGAATGCAACACCTCCTGTGGAAAGGGCCACATGATCAGGACGAGGATGATCAAAACAGAGCCCCAGTTTGGAGGAACGGCATGCCCAGAAACCGTCCAGCGCTCAAAATGTCGAGTAAGGAAATGCCTGCGAGGGCCGGGCATGGAAAAAAGGCGCTGGAAAGAGGCCCGGGAGAAAAGGAGAAGCGAACAAGCCAAAAAGAATATAGACAGCGAGCAGTATCCAGGTGAGAGTGAAACCAGTTCTGGGATGCTCGAGGCTGGTTGTCTTTTCTGCATAACAGGAGTTACAGTGCTGCAAGAACAACTCCAGCGTTTCAGTCTAGGGAAGGTTTTAGCGATAAAATAAAAGCGCAGCCCCTTTCGGTGTCTGCCCATCACCAAAAACCTGCGCAATAAAATTGAGGGGTGCCCTGAGTCAGGGAAAGGCTCACGTCTGTCCACGTCCCACCACTGAAAGTGTTTTAGCTACTCCACACAAAGGTATGGAATGTGAACAAATCTGAAATTTACACCTGGCAAAGGACTGACTGCAGTTTCTGCAGATCTGGGTGATAATTTCTACGATCCGGTTGCCTTCGAACTTCCGAAATATTTCTTCCTGGACCCAACGCTGAATTTCAAAACTGAATTAATTTCCTTCTCAATAATCTGATTCAGACTGGGTCTGCTCTGAGAGAAATGTTAGTGCTGCTTTTTCAGTAGGGGACAACATTATCAAGTACTGATTCCTCAAATCAACAAAACATAATACCCTGGGCTGTAGTTTACATCACGTGGACAGGAATTACTGCTACGTTGTGGTTCATGCTTGTCTGACATTTAACAATTTGTTAGTTTGCCTTTTATAATGTAGATAATGTAGAGAGTAAATTTCTTTTTTAATACCTTTTTTGTCAGTATTTGACAAATGCACCTTGATTATACTTAACGGGTGGTTCTACTACTAAAAAAAAATAACCAGATCACTTATTTTTTCAGTTTGTAGGCTGAAACCATGGACTGCTTGGACAGAATGTTCTACACTCTGTGGAGGTGGAATTCAGGAACGCTACATGATGGTGAAGAAGAGGTCCAAAAGTACTCAGTTTACTAGTTGCAAAGACAAAAAGGAGCTAAGAGCGTGTAATGTTCATCCTTGTTAACAAAACACAAGGTTCCAAGTGATGCACTCTGAGCTAAATGGAAAGTCAACCTTGGTTTGGTTTTTAAAAAAAAAAACAACAACAACAACAACAAATATGAAGTGTATATTAGTTTTCATTTTTGCAGTGTGGTTTGCTTTTTAGTCTTGCTGGTGCAAGAAAAATATTTTATAAATGTTTCCTCACGGATTTATGCTGAGAGTAAATCTTTGGTACTCCAGCCAGCCCTTAATGCATAAAAATAGTAAGTCATCATGAGTTATTTAACTAAAATACAGACATATCTGTGGACATGGAATAGCCATATAGAAATACTACTTGTAAAGACATGGGATGCATGCATATTAAAATAAGTGACGTGTTTCATACGGGGGAGGATTTCTCTCTTGATTTGATTTTAAAAATCCAAAGCAGTGCCTACATAATTACACAACTATGCCAAGGAGTAATTTCAGTAATGCTGGTTCAGTAATATTAAAGGTGCATGTTTATCTTTTTACACCACTGGGTTAAGCTGATAGTTATAATAATAACAATAATAATCCTAAATACTTTTCTTCACATGGATGCTGTGGTCCATGCAAAATGGTCTTTGTTTCATTAAAACTTAAGAAGAAAATTATTTGTGCAGCTCAGTAGTGATGTCTGACCACTTCTCACTCAAGTCAAAACAGCACACAAAGAAAACATGTGAATGTCACAATATATTTAGATTCCATACACCTATTTTGGATCTCTCCACTGCCTCTCAAAGTAGATACAAAACCAACAGAAATTGGTCCAGAGAGAGAGTTGCAACAGCTGTGTCACAGAAAGTTTCCCACATGAGAGACCCTAAAAAAATTAGATTCAGTTTCATGAGGATGTTAATCACAGGTGAAGAGGGAAACAGGTTTGTAATATACCAAAAATGGTAGAGAAAAGGTGAGCCAGGTTCTCATGTATCCCTTATAACGAACAAAGGGAAGGGAGCCTCTAAAATGAAACAATAACAGTCTCTTAAAAAGGTAATTATAGATTGACACAAGAATACATTTACAGCACTGTCATTTATGGGTTTTTTTACTCAAAGTATAGAATAATCTAAAAATTACTAAATTTGTGAAGGTTAGCCATTTGTAGATGCACTAGCCAGGTTAAATTCCCCCCCTGACCACTTGAGTGATCAGCAAACTGCCTGAGATTAGAAAATAGCCCCTCACCTTTCTAATTGCTATTTTATACCCTCTCCTGCAGAACTAATCTCTCATCCCTATGTGTAATCAGGTGTAATCAGCAAGAGCCTCGGGCTTCACTTATTATTGGAATACAGTATTGTCCTGTAGATTTAACATTAAAGATAGCATACACCTATGTCTCTACAGAAGTTATAACAGTGCACTGAAAATAAAGACTGTTGATGCTGACTCTTAAAACAAGCTTGAGAGAAATGAATGGAGAAAATTCCATTTTGTGTCTTTAAAGCAGCCTTAAGTAATTTTAATTTACTCACTTCCTTAACACTTGGTCACAACTCTGAGAACCTGACACCTGGGTTTTAAGTGTTCCCACCCTTAAAGTGTGTGCACCACAACCCACTGAGGTTGTTCAGCTTCACCACCACCACCACCACCCCCCTGGGGAATCCTCTCATTACCCCCCTGTACCTGAACAGGGTGCACCCAGACGGGCTGGTTGCATTACATCGTAGGGCTTTCCATAATTATTTCTCCACTGAACACTGCAGGGGCTGCTCAGCACCTCCACAGCTGCTGCATCCCACCCCCTTCAAGGTATTGTACTGCTTTTTGCGTATTTGGAATGAGGGAAGGGCCAGGAAAATCACGGGACCAGCCACAGGAATAAGCCTCTCCTTGCTGCTGCTACGTGAAATGGGTGCAAGCCCACGGTCAACCAAAAGAAGAGAGAAAAAAAAAAAAAAGAACACAACAAGGTTTAATGCTAAAACCAAACATTTTACATTTTGCACAGCTCGGCTCACTTGATAATATTAATTCAGATGGTTTGCCCTCTTGGGCCTCTTCAAAAATCCTGCAGGTTAAGTCTCTGTAGCGCTGCAGAGCTATATCTACCCACCTCCACCTACCCCCGTGAGCCGCTCTGGCTGAGCTGACAGAGGCTGAGAAAATTCATTCAGAGAAAATTCATTCAGAGAAATAACCTCTGAGCATAAAATGTGTGGGTTTGGAGGCTTGGATCTGCCAGAGCCTGGGACAGGGGGAGCAGAAGAAGAAAGTTTCTCCAGCATGGAAAAAGAGTGCTACGAGTTCACAAACCAGATTTTATCTCATCAGCCCTTATCACTGGTAAAGCTGTTCTTGCAAAACCATGCCTGTTTCGGCGAATAATCAATTAAAACCAACGCTGTATTTCCATTTTCACGTTTGTTCCAGTTCATCAAGCTGTTTTGCCCATTAAATAATCCCTTTGACAAAGGCTACATAGTCCAAATACATCTTTAGGTATACAGGAAATATTCAGTATCTTTCTGAACATGCCCACAAAACTGCCCATGGAAACAACCTGGCATTCCTTTCTCTGTAGTCCTCACTAACTTGATTCTCCATATACCTTTTTGTCTTAGAAGGCTGTTCAGTGTGATTTCCAGTCATTTCTCTTAGGCTCATGTAAGTTACGAAAATTAGAAATTATTTTTTCCCCCACCTTGTTAAAATATGAAATGACAAGGTAGATTGCACCGGGTCAAAAATATGTGATCGTTCCTGCTTAGGTTCAGTTTTTCACACTGTTTTTCTGTTGAAACATTTTACAGATCACTTGTCTTTCTTCTAACTTGATACAGGAGAAATATTTAAGCTTGTTACATTTTGTAAAAAAAAAAAAAAAGAAACACAGACAAAAACAAAAGAAGAAAAAATAAGAGGTTGATTTTCTATTCAGAAAAAAAAAAAAAGAGAAAAAGCTCTGATATACAATATGTAGAAGTCTTGCATTGTTACTGTAAACTTTCTAGTAGTGTAATAGCCACTGATTATCAGTCAATAAAAATAAGAACTGTTATTGTTCTGATGTCCTGAATAATCCTGCTGAACTGAAAGCACAGATGTCACTCCAGTTTTGTAGACCTCGACTGTCAGATCTTAGCATTGTGCGTAAGTTTTGGGTTTTTTTCCTAATAAACAAACTGTAGAAGCTTTATTACACATAACAAAAAAGAAAAGTTAGGGGCTTATCAAATGTACAGTAGGACTCTGTGTGTGTGGCATACCAAGTTAAAGTTTTGTTTAATTGCATTTTTTGATTTCCTTCTTTGTTTTTGTTTGCTGTGGAATTATGAAAAAGCTACCATGGACGTTTCTTACCAAAGTCTTGTGTAGATGTTTTGTAGGTGTCTGGCTAATACATTATTATTATTATTGTTATTATTATTATTATTATTATTTTGGAATAAAGACATCTTTATTATGAATTTTACACTTGTATGAGGTTCTGTTCAAGTGATCACATACACCGAAAACCACTTATTAATATGAGGAGCCAAGTTGTGTTCCTATTTACATTTTACTCCTGTTCAAGGTAACAGAATATTGGGAGTGAGGGGATTTTACCAGAACCAGTCATTCTTTCTACTTGGAAGTTGTCTGCATCAAGGTCTTTGTCAAATGGTTTGTTGTTCTCTAGAAGTCACAGGGTAACTCAAGAACATTACATAAATTACTGTGTATTACTCTCATGGGTTTTGTTGCTGTTGTTGACTTTTAATAAAAGAGAAACTATTTAAAAACAAAATAAAACATTTTAAAGCCTGGTGATACACGAAAGGAAAAACTTCTAAAAATGAACTTCCAAAAAGCCTGAGATTTCATGAAGCTTTCAACGGATATTCTGTGCTACTGGAAAACTATTTTGGGACACTGCAAGTGCAAGTGCGTCACTGATAATTACACAGAAAGCACAGAGGTGAGGGGAGCCACTCTGCAATGCTGCTACTCTAGAAATCCAACTATATGTAACATCCTATAGCCAGCTAGAAGGGACAGCTCTGCATTATCACCTTCTTTTCAGAAGTCCTCATCAACATCAGTTACATCAGTAATAAACTTGTTAACACTGAGGCAGGAAATCACTCCCTTTCTGCTTATGGACCACATTTGCACAAATAGGAGAAATGAAGCCTCTCCTGACTCAGAGTTTGCTTCCTTTTCATGGCAGGGTATTTTGAAACGGGTCTTTTAAAATACACATTTGATACACATTTCAAAGAAAGACCAAAAAGGTTGTTTCCAAACACGACAAGCATTTCTCACCACGCCTCTAACTGTGCTGTTTGAACCAGCAGTGGCATTGCCAGCACCTGCCTGAGGGCAGCTCAGCCTGATGTCACCGAGGGGCTCTCTCAGGAGTGTATGGCAGCATTTGAGAAGTGCCTGGTGCTTTTGAAAGGCCAAAAAGCTCTGCATTCCCCCTCCATCATGCCAGATACGTCCTTAGTGCATCTCACGGGCTCAGCCCCAAGGCCATCCCAACCACCACGGTGCCAATTCAAGAGCCTTGGACACTCCAGGAGATGATGCCCGAGAGGGAAGGGCTGCAAGCAGTGTAACATCTGCTTTTCAGGGCAAATCAGAAGTTCTGGGTTTAGACACAATGGTGTGAATCCCTGGACACGATGAACAGTCCCACTCTTGGTCCTCACCATTCAGACCTTCAGTCACCAAGAGCCTTAAACACTCACCCACCCGAGGCCCAGATGCAGAAAGTACCCCAAAGCAGTACAGCACCTACCAAACCAGCTTTACCTAAACTGCCTTTTTATCAGGAAAAAAAAAAAAAGAGACTTCACACATGCATATAAAGGAAAAGAGCAATCAGGAATCATGGCTATATCACAGAACCTTTCCAAGCAATGCTCTCCTTCCCGCTGAAAGGCCTGGATGGTGTTGCCAAAAACTCATCCCCTCCCTGCTCCTGCAGTGGCTGGGTCTGGCACAGAGAAGGGGGTGTGATTGAGTCTGTACAGAAAGCACCACAGTTGTTCCACTAATACTGACTGTAAAACTAAACTGGACCAGGCTGATGCCAGGGCTAGGCTTAGAAGAATAAAAAGTCCCAGAGCTGACGTTCTAGAGGCACTATCAAACTTCTTGGGGGGCACTGAGCATCACTTGCAGAGAGCCAGTGGCTTATCCCTGCCCCTGAACAGCTCAGGACCCAGTTCCTGAGGAGGTAAAGCAAGCACAATATATAGGAGTGGCCAGTGGCTAAGTCTCCTTAAGTAACCTTCCCAGATAGGACTAGTGAGGCCATGGCTAGGATTTATACTTCTGTTGTATCAACGTGAGCATTAAGCTAAAGGAGCTGGGCAAACAGCTGAAAAAACCACAAATAACAGATCCCACACTTTACCTATAAACCTCAAGGTATATACATACTATTTTATCAACATAAATCAGAATTTAAAAGAGCAAAAAAAAAAGAAGTTTTTTACTTACAGTATCTTTAGGCCCATTTCAGCAGTGAGGGAAACAAAGCAGTGTCTGGAAAAGAAAAGAAAAGAAAGAGGTTAGATTGTAAGCTATAAGGAAAGAAAAGAAGGGATTAGATTATAACTGCATAATTCAAAGTGCATGAAGTTTTATGAATGGCAGAATACAATTTTTATACCACACATAAAAAGATACACAGAGAACAAGACAGACAAGTATAGGAATAGCACTTCTGAGTGCAAACAAGCAGCTGAACTATTTGGAATGGTTAAAACATTTACACACTCTCTCAGAAGCCATGAGGGGAAGAGGAGGGGCAGGTACTGATCTGTTCTCTGTGGTGACCAGTGACAGGACCAAGAGAATGGCCTGAAGTTGTGTCAGGGGAGGTTTAGGGTGGATATTAGAAAAAGGTTCTTCACCCAGAGGGTGGTTGGGCACTGAACAGGCTCCCCAGGGCAGTGGGCACAGCCCCAAGGCTGACAGAGTTCAAGGAGTGGACAA